GGTGAGTGAGTGGGTGAATGAGTGAGTGGGTGAATGAGTGAGTGGGTGAATGAGTGAGTAGGCTTACTGTGGCCTATTGTATAACACGCCTTGATACACACGCACATACAAGGCATCACAATCTCACGGCCCGGCGATGCAACCGTCAAGCTAACATGTGTACGTGGGGCCGATTTCATCGTTCCATCTCTGCGCCGTACGTTCTCCCAGGTACGTTCCCCCTCTCTTTGGACTGCCAGTTTGTCGCTCGCCTCTCCTCGCTAGCTCCATCGTCCTGACCAATCCCAAGTCAGTCAGCACCCCACCCCCTCTCCTTCACCAACCCGCATGGTGAAGTATAGTCAAAACAACCATCGTGACCTTTACAGATTGACAGAGCTGTCCATTCATCATCACCCGTAGTCAATCCACTGCTGGATGAACGCCTCCGCACTCTCCCCCACCCACCCAGGCCGCCACCATCTCTCGCAATCCTGCGATGTAGATCATCATCATCGTTATCGTCATCATTTTTTCTTGTACAATTCATTTCAACGCCGCTTAAAAGACGTCCGCGCGTCTGGCCACGCAAGGGCACGTCTCTGCAGCGCGCCACCGATCGATGTGCCGTGCCGACAGCAAACCGCTCCCACGGAGGCGTTTGCCGGGCACTGCGGCATTTCCAGCGGAGCGCCAATTTGTCGAAAAGAAGAAAAAACCCCACAAACTTCTGCACGTTCGACGTCGCTCTCTGTCGGTTCCTCTCCCCCGCCCACCCTCCCCCCCCGTGCCCCCCACCCCCAACCCCCCCCCCCCCCCACCACGGATGCTCAGAATTAACCGAGCGGGAAAGAGCTTGCGGCTAAACGCACGCGGCGTGTGCGCCCGATCCGCCGTTCGCTAATTGTCCCGCGGTATATAGCCGCAGAGGTTTTGTCGCCGAGCCGAGAAATTGCTCGGTGGGGGCGGGGGGGCGGGGGGGTTAGGGGATACGGTGGGGGGGGGGGGGCAGATAAACAAAGCGGCCGAGCAAAGCGGAACGAGTCCAGCCGTTTCAATTAGCGCCTTCGCCGCGGGTCCGAGGCCGCACGCCGTTTAATTGGCTATTTAGAAACGACGACGACGACGACGATGATGAACCACGTGGACGGCTCAACCCGAAATTGACGATAAAACCGCGAGACAAACTTTTTTTTTCTTCTTGGTTCTTTCGGTAAAGTCACGTAGAAGGGAAATGATAGAATAATAAAAATAAAACATGATAAAATAATTCTCACGACGTTTCGGCCACAACGCAAGCAGCCGTCCCTCATTCTCCACCTGAGGACGGCTGCTTGCGTTGTGGCCGAAACGTCGTGAGAATTATTTTGTCATGTTTTATTTTTATTATTTTATTACTTCCCTTCTACGTGATGACTTTACCGAAAGAACCAAGAAGATGAATCCCTGCAGTCACGAAAGCTTTAAATCGAAATTTTATTATGTTTTATTTTTATTATTTTATTACTTCCCTTCTACGTGATGACTTTACCGAAAGAACCAATAAGATGAATTCTTGCAGTCACGAAAGCTTTAAATCGAGAGACAAACTTTCTTGCAGCTGCGTTCGAGAACCGGGCCCCCCCCCCTCGCCTTCCCCCTCGCCGCTCCACACGAGTGACACGTTCCATTCCATCGCCGTCGATAATGGGAGAGAAGCTCGTGGTGGTGGTGGTGGTGGTGGGATTGGTTGATGGCACGCCGTTCCGTCATAACAAACGTGGGCTTTCTTGTTGGTTGTTGCCTGCTCGTTGATGTTGTTTCTATAATTGCCCCCTTAAGGCGGTCGGCGGGGGTGGGAGGGGGTGGGGACGGGGTGGGGAGGGAGGGAGGGACCTGGGTTTGGGGGGTGCATTTGTCCGAACGAAAACGTTTCATGGGCAACACCCTCACACCCGCAGGCGTTACCACACGGCGTTTTCTCAGTCGCCGTGTTTGGACCACGACAGGCATCTGACGAGGCGATTTATTTCATACCTTCCCCGAGAAACGCGTCCGGGGATGCAGGCGGAGACACGGGGGGGGGGCAAAAGGGACCCACGAGACGCAGGGAGGCCACGGGCAGCGGAGATCCACGGAGATCCACGGAGAGAACGAAGGGGCAGCGAGACTCAAGAGACACGGGGACACACAGAGACTCAAGAGACACGGGGACACAGAGACTCAAGAGACACGGGGACACAGAGACTCAGAGACACGGGGACACAGAGACTCAGAGACACGGGGACACAGAGACACGGGGACACAGAGACTCAGAGACACGGGGACACAGAGACTCAAAGACACGGGGACACAGAGACTCAGAGACACGGGGACACAGAGACTCAAGAGACACGGGGACACAGAGACTCAAAGACACGGGGACACAGAGACTCAGAGACACGGGGACACAGAGACTCAGAGACACGGGGACACAGAGACTCAGAGACACGGGGACACAGAGACTCAGAGACACGGGGACACAGAGACTCAAGAGACACGGGGACACAGAGACTCAAAGACACGGGGACACAGAGACTCAGAGACACGGGGACACAGAGACTCAAAGACACGGGGACACAGAGACTCAGAGACACGGGGACACAGAGACTCAAAGACACGGGGACACAGAGACTCAAGAGACACGGGGACACAGAGACTCAGAGACATGGGGACACAGAGACTCAGAGACACGGGGACACAGAGACTCAGAGACACGGGGACACAGAGACTCAGAGACACGGGGACACAGAGACTCAGAGACAGGGGGACACAGAGACTCAAGAGACACGGGGACACAGAGACTCAGAGACACGGGGACACAGAGACTCAAGAGACACGGGGACACAGAGACTCAAGAGACACGGGGACACAGAGACTCAGAGACACGGGGACACAGAGACTCAGAGACACGTGGACACGGAGACTCAGAGACACGGGGACACAGAGACTCAGAGACACGGGGACACAGAGACTCAGAGACTCAGAGACACGGGGACACAGAGACTCAGAGACACGGGGACACAGAGACTCAGAGACACGGGGACACAGAGACTCAGAGACACGGGGACACAGAGACTCAGAGACACGGGGACACTGAGACTCAAGAGACACGGGGACACAGAGACTCAAGAGACACGGGGACACAGAGACTCAAGAGACACGGGGACACAGAGACTCAAGAGACATGGGGACACAGAGACTCAAGAGACACAATGACACAGAGACTCAGAGACACTGGGACACAGAGACTCAGAGACACGGGGACACAGAGACTCAGAGACACGGGGACACAGAGACTCAGAGACACGGGGACACAGAGACTCAAGAGACACGGGGACACAGAGACTCAAGAGACACGGGGACACAGAGACTCAGAGACACGGGGACACAGAGACTCAGAGACACAGGGACACAGAGACTCAGAGACACGGGGGCACACAGAGACTCAAGAGACACGGGGACACAGAGACTCAAGAGACACGGGGACACAGAGACTCAGAGACACGGGGACACAGAGACTCAAAAGACACGGGGACACAGAGACTCAAGAGACACGGGGACACAGAGACTCAGAGACATGGGGACACAGAGACTCAGAGACACGGGGACACAGAGACTCAGAGACACGGGGACACACAGAGACTCAAGAGACACGGGGACACAGAGACTCAAGAGACACGGGGACACAGAGACTCAGAGACACGGGGACACAGAGACTCAAGAGACACGGGGACACAGAGACTCAGAGACACGGGGACACAGAGACTCAGAGACACGGGGACACAGAGACTCAAGAGACACGGGGACACAGAGACTCAGAGACACGTGGACACAGAGACTCAGAGACACGGGGACACAGAGACTCAGAGACACGGGGACACAGAGACTCAGAGACACGGGGACACAGAGACTCAGAGACACGGGGACACAGAGACTCAGAGACACGGGGACACAGAGACTCAGAGACACAGAGACTCAGAGACACGGGGACACACAGAGACTCAAGAGACACGGGGACACAGAGACTCAGAGACACGGGGACACAGAGACTCAAAGACACGGGGACACAGAGACTCAGAGACACGGGGACACAGAGACTCAGAGACACGGGGACACAGAGACTCAGAGACACGGGGACACAGAGACTCAGAGACACGGGGACACAGAGACTCAAGAGACACGGGGACACAGAGACTCCCAACTCCCTGGTGCGGTGCCACGGTGCCAGCCAACGTGGTCGCTGACAACTCGCGAGCAACACTTGCCCCAACAGGCTGTGAAGGCTACGGGGAGGGGGGTGGGGGTGGGGGTGGGGGAGGATGCTCTTCGACGCACGAAGACGAGGGGTGGACGGGACGACACACTCACTCTCACTCACACTCGCTCACTCTCACTCACACTCACGCACTCTCACGCACACACACTGACACACACGCAGACACACACACACACTGACACACACACTGACACACATACTGACACACACATACATACACACACTGACACAGACACACACACCGAAACAGACACACACACTGACACACACAGAGACACGCACACACAGACACACACACACGTAGACACACACACACCCTGACACACACACACTGACACACACACTGACACACACACACTGACACAGACACACACACACTGACACAAAAGATCCCCCGTATAGCCTTAACAGACTGTAGGGGCAAGTGCTGTTAGCGAGCACCTATGAAGACCGGAACGGTACACGAGGGGGTGGGTGGCCAGCACCACGCCCGACCGCCTTTGTCTCCCTAGTGGCAATGTTTACATACCGCACCAGGTACTCATTTGAGGCTGAGTCGACCTAGGGGCGGCCCGGGACCGGTTCAGATAATCGTCACTGGTGTTGGCCGTGAGCGGGAATCGAACTCGTGTCGCCGGGTTCATAGTGCAGCGCGCTAACCGCTACACTACCGCTGACACACTGACACACACACACACTGACACACACACACTGACACACTCACCCTCCGGTCTGAACTGCGCCACGATGTTCACGGTGGAGCCAGCTCCCTTGAGGGCGGCGGCCGCCTGCTCGTGCGTGGCGCTGCTCAGGTCAATCCCGTTCACCTGGGCGCACAGAACGAGGTGGTGGTGGTGGGGGGGGCACACACAGAACGAGGTGGTGGTGGTGGGGGGGGGGGGGCACACACAGACAGAGGTGGTGGTGGTGGGGGGGGGGCACACACAGACAGAGGTGGTGGTGGTGGGGGGGGGCATACACAGACAGAGGTGGTGGGGGGGGCACACACAGACAGAGGTGGTGGTGGTGGGGGGGGGCACACACAGACAGAGGTGGTGGTGGTGGGGGGGGGCACACACAGACAGAGGTGGTGGTGGTGGGGGGGGGGCACACACAGACAGAGGTGGTGGTGGTGGGGGGGGGCATACACAGACAGAGGTGGTGGGGGGGGCACACACAGACAGAGGTGGTGGTAGTGGGGGGGGGGCACACACAGACAGAGGTGGTGGTGGGGGGGCACACACAGACAGAGGTGGTGGTGGGGGGGGGCACACACAGACAAAGGTGGCGTTGAGCGTAGAAGTTAATCGTGCCACGGTAGCTAGGAGATGTTAACCACCTCGCCTGGTACGCAGGAGGCAGTGGGTTCGATCCCGACATTGTCGCCTGCTGTATATTTGGAGTTTTCATCTCTCATCATCATCATCACGGTGGCTAGGAGATGTTAACTACCTCGCCTGGTATACAGGAGGCAGTGGGTTCGATCGCGACATTGTCGCCTGCTGTATATTTGGAGTTTTCATCTCTCAGCATCATCATCACGGTGGCTAGGAGATGTTAACTCCCTCGCCTGGTACGCAGGACGTCATGGATACGATCCCGACATTGACGCCTGCTGTATATTTGTAGTTTGCGTGTCTCTCTCTCTCTCTCCCTGTGGTCGCTTAGAATTTTTTTCCCCGCATCCACTGTTATTTCCCGCCACATTTAGAATCGACATCACGCGCTCAGAGTATTTGGCCGCTATAAATATCCACGTGACGATAAGCCGCTTCGTTGAGCTGACATTTGTGATGGCCAGATCACTTCCGAAAAAAATTAGCTGTATAGCTCAGTGGGCCTTACCTGGTACAAGAAAAAGTTAAAAGTAATCTTCCCCGAGCCGACTTGCGCTGCAGGGTTTGTACGATTTCAAACGGTGATATTTCCGTCGCCGTGATATCTCCGCTTTGGTCACCGCGACGCCGGGTTTCTGGTTTCCTCTTGTTTAGTTTCTGCGGCTCTTTGCGTCGGGTCGGCGAGCGCAGGGTCACGCACGCTCGCAAATTAAGACTCCTCCAGTCCTGGTGTTTCTTTCCCCGGGTTCCCACCCCGCTTGGGAGTGACTAATAAACCGCGGGGCTTGAAACGGGGTCACCGAGACAGACACGAGGCACGACTGGCGGGCAAGATGAACATGCGGTCGTCGATAATGGCGTGCCGCCTTGACAGGGCGGAATAAGTGCGATGGTGGAGGGGAGTAGGGTGAGACGAGAGGGGAGAGGCAGGGGAGTGCGTGGAGGGGAGTAGAGTGAGATGAGAGGGGAGAGGTAGGAGAGTGCGTGGAGGGGAGTAGAGTGAGAGGGGAGAGGTAGGAGAGTGTGTGGAGGAGAGTAGAGTGAGATGAGAGGGGAGAGGCAGGAGAGTGCGTGGAGGGGAGTGGAGTGAGATGAGAGGGGAGAGGCAGGAGAGTGCGTGGAGGGCAGTGGAGTGAGAGGGGAGGGGAGAGGTAGGAGAGTGCATGGAGGGGAGTAGAGTGAGATGAGAGGGGAGAGGCGGGAGAGTTGGTGGAGGGGAGTGGAGTGAGAGGGGAGGCAGGAGAGTGCGTGGAGGAGAGTAGGGTGAGACGAGAGGGGAGAGGTAGGAGAGTGCGTGGAGGGCAGTGGAGTGAGATGAGAGGGGAGAGAGGCAGGAGAGTGCGTGGAGGGCAGTGGAGTGAGAGGGGAGGTGAGAGGTAGGAGAGTGCATGGAGGGGAGTAGAGTGAGATGGGAGGGGAGAGGCGGGAGAGTTGGTGGAGGGGAGTGGAGTGAGAGGGGAGGCAGGAGAGTGCGTGGAGGAGAGTAGGGTGAGATGAGAGGGTAGAGGCAGGAGAGTGCGTGGAGGGGAGTAGAGTGAGATTAGAGGGGAGAGGCAGGAGAGTGCGTGGAGGGGAGTAGAGTGAGATTAGAGGGGAGAGGCAGGAGAGTGCGTGGAGGGGAGTAGAGTGAGATGAGAGGGGAGAGGCAGGAGAGTGCGTGGAGGGGAGTTGAGTGAGATGAGAGGGGAGAGGTAGGAGAGTGCGTGGAGGGGAGTAGAGTGAGATGAGAGGGGAGAGGCAGGAGAGTGCGTGGAGGGGAGTGGAGTGAGATGAGAGGGGAGAGGCAGGCAGGGGCGAGTCCCGTGAGGGATCTTCAAGACGGTGACTGCGAACTTGAAATTGATCTGGGATTGGTTTGGGCCCCAGTGGAGGGGTCGCAGCATTGGGGTGACGTGATCTCATTTATGGTCGCGGGTGAGGAGTGTGACAGGGGCATTTTGAAACCAATCCAGAGTTTGGGGATAAGGGATTATGGGGGGGGGGGAGTAGGCCGTAGAGGAAAGTGTTTAGAGAGTCGAGTGAGGGATGCGATGAAGGCACGGATGAGGATGACGACACACGTTTGACACGCGCGAACTTTATCCCGAGTCGAACCTAGGGGAGAGGCCCATGCAACACACTTGGCCCACTGGCATTGATCATCCGCATCAGGATTCGAACACGGGCAACACGTGGGATTGTGGTGGAGCGCATTCACAATGACGCCTGTGCCACTCATGCGTACAAAGACAAAAGGTCCCCCCCCCCATATAGCCTTTGACGGTGTGTTGGGGCAAGTGCTGTTTGAGATGACCTATGAAGGCCGGCGTGGCCTTCATGAGTGTGCTGCTTCTCGCCAGCGTTATAAGTGTCCACGAGACGTTTTTTGTTTTTGGGTTAGATCGCGTAAATATATAAATGTGTGTCGTTAAACCCTCCACCACCTGACGCAGCCAATTAGTAAAGGTTTATCACGTAAACAGAACGTGCCAATTCGTTACTAGTACAGCAAATCTGCTGTGTGTTGAAGAGTAAAACATTTACAATTCTCGTAGCAGTGACGTTTTGCCGGTAATCACAAGTAACACACAATCGGTGCGCTCAACTCGTAACTAATAGGCAAGTTTTGTTCACGTGACAAACCTTACTAATTGGCTGTGTCGGGTGATGGTGGTGTATTTAACGACGCATTTATATTTACGTGATCTAATAAGTATTTTATAATAAAAAAAAAGTATTTTATAATAAAAAAAAAACCCCACCTCTGTTATGGATGATATTGGTCGCGAAAGCCTACTACGTGTTAAGCCGTTATAAGACTTACGATATTCGTTCTTATAGGACTAATTTCTTAAAATTTTTAATATTTTTTTCTCCCCCCTCCCCCCTCCTCCCTCCCTGGACGCTGCAATCGCTAACGGCTCGCAGGAAATTTCAATATCGGGAACCAAGCCGGACAAGTATAACCCGTAAAAACAAAGTTTTTCACTATAAATCCTTTATATGCGTGACGGCTAGAGTCCTCTCGTCCTCTGGCTTGAGATGGCTGCCACCTATGGGTCAGATGATTGCATTGCACCATTAAGCAATTGGTAATTAAATATAATATTTTTGTCGTAAAAAGTGTAAAAAATTTTAATTTTTTTTTCACGAACATTAATTGTCACGCACAACGAGTCTGTGTGGAAAATGTCAGCTCGATTGGATCACGGGAAGTGGGTTAAAAAACGACCGAAAGATTTGCACGGTCCTAAGCAAGCAAGCGAACTTAATATAAAGGATTTAAAACAAAAGCGAGACCGAAAATGAAATACGCAATTAAATCCTACGTCATCTTGTGGGGGCGAAATGTTGGAACCCACCGGGGGATTGATTCATAGGTGCTGCCTCCCCCCCTGCCCCCCCTGCCCCCCCCTCCACCCCTGCCCCCACCCCCACCGGTGCTGAAACACATCTCTCTCGCATCAGCATCTCGAATGAACAAACACCGAGGCGAACATTGCCGATTGAATATTAATCGCGCACACACACACACACCATCTCTATATATATAACGCGTAACCAACTCAGTGGGCCTTACCTTGCAAAAGACAAATAGTTCGTCCGTAGTTAATCTATTTAGACGTGTGTGTGTGTATAAGCTAGGGGGGGTTGCCTTGTTTTATCATTTTTCTCGATATGAAACCACATCGACGAGCGTGCGTGCGTGCGCGTTTCTCCGCGCGTCGATCGTACTGGAAGCGTTGCGCGTGGGACGCTGCGCTGGGGCAGAATGTTGTAGCGAATAAGCTCGTTTATTTTATTTTTCTATCGTCCACGACTGGCTTTTGGGTTCGGGGTCATCGGTGACCAGAAAAATCCGAAGGGAAATTTTTTATTTGCTGGAACGAACGAAAAAAACGATACACATTTGGAGCCGACGCAGCTGTATGGGGGGGTGGTGGTGGTGGTGGTGGGGTAAAAAAAACAGCACTAGCAAGAGGTCTGTTTGGTGAAAAGGTCGTTGGGTTTTTTGTGTTTTCATCAAATAGCCCATTACTTTTTCATATATTTGATTTCAATTCACTTCCTTTGTTCAGGACCACGTGAAAGGCATTCCCCTCCTCCCCTACCCCCCCCAATTCGGGAAAAATAAATGACACCTTTGGTCGGTGGGCCAAACAAAGGTTCTGGTTCTAGTGGAGCAATTTAAAATTTGGAATTAATGATAAACAAGACCGAGGAAACTTGACGGGAGTCAAACAGGTTCCCGTCATCATCATCATCATCACGACCCATGGGCAGACAGCCCGTAGTAGGTGTCCATTTCGTCATTTGTTTAAACTTTCCTCTCTGTCTTGTGGTTCCATTATGCTCAAGTAGTGCACAGCATTGTAGTTATTGTATAGCGTAGTGTATAGTGTAGTGTAGAGTATAGTAGTGTATATAGCGAGGTGTATAGTGTAGTGTAGAGTGTAGTAGTGTATTGAATAGTGTATAGCGTAGTGTATAGTGTAGTGTAGTATATATAG